GCGCCTGGAGGGCGTCAGGATCGACCCCGACGCGGACCCGGCGCCCCAGCTGCGCGGTCGCCTGCTGCTGGTGAGCGCCGCGGCGCCTCCTCCTCCTGCCTCCGATGTGGACCGGGGCCTCGTGCGTCCAGCTGGCCCTCCTCGAGTGGTCCCCGAGCCCTGCCCCGCCATAACCCCGCACCCAGGCTGCCCCGGGCCCCAGCCCGCAGGTTGCCACACCTCAGATCCACAGTCCCCCCCCACCCCCGACCTAGATGCCCCGTGCGCCCTGCCTAGGCACCGCCTCCGCCTCCTCCTCCCCGTCTTTTCTGCCCAAGGCCCCTCACCCACAGGTGGACACGGTGGATGCCGAGCACGAGATGCCGGGGGAAGGCTGGATTGCAGTGGCCTACGTGGGCAAGGAGCAGGCGGCCCAGTTCCACCAGGAAAACCAGGGCAGCGGCCCCCAGGCCTATCCCAAGGCCCTGGTCCAGCAGGTGCTGGTGGGGACTGCGGAAGAAGAGGGAGCCGGAGAACGGGTGCCAGAGCTTCTGGACCTTATCTGCCAGATGCCCCCCACCCCCCACCCCCACCCTGGGTAGGGGTAGGGACCCTAGTTTGGAGGGTTGTGACCGTACTGTATTGAAGCAGGGAGGTGGGAGGACTGAGGTTGAGGTTGGGCAGATGGACCAGGTCCTGAGGGAATCAGAAAATTCCTGCTGGGGGAGAAGAGGAGGGTCTGGTCTATGGTCGCTGGAAAAGACACAGCACTGTCTGTGCTTCACAGAGCCTGGGGGTGGAGCCGGAGGAAAGGGAGTTTCTGTTCTTGGCTTTTAGGAGTTATTCTAATCTAATTGAAGTGAATTGGCCACTGGTGGGGAGAGAGAAGTGGGGTGGGGGGTGCCAGCCTCTGCTCCTCTGCCATGCAGATGCGAAGGGCCCTCTTTCTGGGAGCCTCTGCCCTGCTGCTCCTCATCCTGAACCACAACGTGGTCCGAGAGGTAAGCTCCAAGTAGGTGGTGGGAGGACAGGCTGGGGACTGGGATCAGGGTCTGCTGACCTCCCTGTCCCCTGACAGCTGGATATATCCCAGCTTCTGCTCAGGCCAGTGATCGTCCTTCATTACTCTTCCAATGTCACCAAGCTGTTGGAAGCATTGCTGCAGTGAGTTGGGGTGTGGGCTCCCTAAGGTGGGGTCTGGGTGTGAGGCTCCCCACCTGGGCTCTGGGGTGTCAGCACCAGGACACTTCCTCTTCGCCTGAAGGCTGTACTCACTACTCACTTGGTCTGAGAACTAGGCCAGAGGACTGCAAGGCGGACGCTGTGGGCAGAGGGGATTGGTCCAGCCAGGAAAGACATCCGACACTTGATTGAGAAGCTAATCTCTGGGCTTCCAGTGGTATCCCTGGCCAACCTTGTGGAAGAAATAGAAGTGTGGACAGAGAGAGAGAGAGAACCCGGGGCCAACGTAGATGGCTGGGGATGGTATGCTGGGATATCCCCAGGAAGACTCCTGAGGGTCCGACTGCTGACCCCCTTGGGTGGCTCTCCCTCCCAGGAGGACTCAAGCCACTGCTGAGATCACCAGCGGAGAGGCCCTGTCAGCCAACATCGAGTGGAAGCTGACCCTATGGACCACCTGTGGTCTCTCCAAAGATGGCTACGGTGGCTGGCAGGACTTGGTGTGCCTGGAAGACAGCCGTGCCCAGGAGCAGGTGAGGGTCGTCACAATGCAGGGGCGAGGAGATAAGGCACCGGTGGCCCCTCACATCCTGGTAGTGGTGGTGGCCACCCCGACCTCAGCAGGTTATCGTGATACCTGGCCAGGGCACCTGCCTCAGTGGCGGCTGCTTCTGTCATACTGGCCCTGCGCAGGAGCCGTCTTCACTCTCGGTTGCCTGCAGAGTGAAGCTCGGACAACTTAGTCTAGTGTCTAGACGTCTCCCAACAGACCGGGAGCTCTCATCCTATTTTGGTGGGCTTCTCTCCCCTGCTTCTTTCTGCCCTACGCTCCTGCCACCCTGGGTCACTTGCTCCCCCCCCCCCCCCCCATCCTGCCGCTGGACAGCCCTTTCCTCTTCCTGGGTGTGTCCTCTCTAGGAGCCTTCATTCAGGACCCATTCTGCTTGTCTGCCCTCAGCGCCAAGTCCCTTCTGCTGCTTATAAGTCACACGCTGCCAGGTGCTTCAAGAGCCCTGGTGATGTAGTGGTTACAGACATGCTAGGCTGCGCTCCATGAGGTTAGCAGTTTAAAACCACCCCCAGCTCTGCAGGAGAAAGACGGGCTTTCTATTCCCGTTAACAGTTCTAAGCTCGGAAACGCAGGGGCAGTTCTACCCTGCCCTACAGGGTTGCTGTGAGTCAGTGTTGTCTGGATGGTAGTGGGTTTGGTTGGTTTGGCCAGGTGCTTCAGAGGGTTCTTAGGACAGCCCCACTGGAGTAAGTTTTGGGGTGACTTTGTGTCCCAACGGCGGGCTGGGTCTTGTCTCTGGATTTTCTACTTCTTGCTGTTAAAGGGGCCCACCAGTGGTCCATGCACACCTTGTGGTGTAATGGTCTTGCATTGGGCTGCTGACCTCAAGGTCAGCTGTTCTAAACCACCAGCTGCTCTGTGGGAGAAAAATGAGGCTGTCTAAGTCTCATACGGTTGCAGTCTCAGAAACCCACAGGGGCAGTTTTATCTTGTCCACTGAGGTCATTATGAGTCAGAATTGACTCGATGGCAGTGAGTTTGGATTTGGTTCGGCATACAACCTCCGGCAGGCACCAGCCAGTTGCTGCCGAGTTGCCCCTAACTCACGGTGACCCCGGTGTGGTAGAGTGGAACCGTGTTCAGAGGGTTTTCACAGCTGTGACCTTTCAGAAGCGAATCACCCGGCCTTTCTTCTGAGTCACCTCTTGGTGGGTCCACATCACCAGCCTTTGGTTAGTAGCTGAGATCCTAGCTGCCTGTGCCTCCCCAAAACCTGGCTCCACACGTCAGTGGTGTGATCTTGGGCTGAGCGTCTAGGTGCTCGGGGTCTGTGGACGAAAACAGGCTGCAGGTGTGGCTGCAGGTCATGTGTGATGCCTTTGGCTCCAGGTGAGCTGGAGCAAACAGGCAGCAGCCACTGCTTTGACCACCTTTCTTGCTGTAAGTGCTTGAAGAAATCGGCCGTCGGTGCATCATTTTGGAGTTCTAGGACCCGGAGGGCTGGGTGCAAAGACTGGAAGATACAAAAAGCCTGTGAGGAAGCTCCATCCAGGTCGTCAGGGGCAAGTAGGGAAGAGGATCTTGAGCATGACTTTGGCGATAGCCTGCACAGCTTTGTGGGGGCAGGGAAGGGCTTGCCCGAAGAGAAATGTGCCCTGTAGGTGAGGGCAGCCCTACAGACTTCTGAGCAGGCAGGCACTTGGTGAGGCACCTGGAGGAGGTGCATCTTGAAAGCGGAGAGTAGGGTGGGGAGGTAGTGGGGGAGCTGGAGCGTGCGTCCCCTTGCCCGGTGGGCCAAGTGCCCACAGGATGGTTGGGGCGGTCATCCCATGGGTGGGTCTGATGCTCGTCTCTGGACCCTGGGAACCCAGAGGAGTTACTCCACCTATATATACTGTAGTTCAGGAAGGTCTGAAGAAGCCACTTCCCCTAGCCTCACCCTCCCTCCTCACCCAGGGGACCTCAAGATGCTCTGAGCCAGGGAGACTCTCAAAGGCGGTCTGGGCCGGCCCCACCCTTGGGCTGCCACCAGCACCTTCTGACCACCCAGGGAATGGAGGGCTGCACTTGATCTAGCCAAAAGGCTGAGAAGCGATGGGAATGGCGTTCTGGAGCAGGCCTGCCTGAACCTGGCCCAGGACGGTGGGCTCAGGGATGGTCGGGAGAGCAGAGGTGCTGGCAGTCTGGCAGTCTGGCAGGGCAGTTCAAGGTGTCTTGGGGCGGGTGGTGACCATAGTAAAGGCTCCAGAGCCCCAAGGGAAAAACAAGGACAGAGTCATCCCACCCCCACTCCTGGAGAAAGAAGTGCAGGACTGAGGGGGCAGCCAGGCTCACAAGCTACCTTGGTATTAGCCCCAAATGTGAACAATGACTTGTTAGCTAGCAGCAGAGAGAGTGTGTGTGTGTGTGTGTGTGTGTGTGGGGGGCTCTTGACATTGAATCATCCCTCAGCCCCTCCTCTCGATGTGTCTACTGGAACTTGAGCACCAGGACTTGCAGAGGGCTTTTAAAGGCAGGCGATTTCTTAGGGCTGCAGACCCTCCACCAGCTCATGCCCCTGCACCCTACCCCACCCCCAGCCACCCACTGTGTGGTGTATATGAAATCAAGGTTGCTATACCCCTCCCCCCTCCAATCCCTGAGACCCACCCAGGGGCCTGGGGCCCACAGGTCTTAAAGGTCCCTCTTAAGTGAGGCACTGAGGCTGCGGCTGTGGGGAGCTCAGCAGACCGGGTCCCATGTACAGGCGTCCCCGGACCACTGGCCAGTACACAGTCAAGTTAGGCGTGAGGGAGCCGGGACGGAGAACCAAGTAGATATACTTCCCAGGGTAAGGGGTGCCCGAGTGCAGAAATCAAGGAGGGTTGCGTGTGGCAGGATGCAGGTGAGGGAAAGGGCAGCCAGGGAACTGAGGAGGTGGACCATGTATGTGTCCAGCGAGGGCCTGTAGGTCCCGAACTGGGGCTCTCCTGAGGGTCGGGCCAGGCTACAGGGTGGGGTGAGGTGTGCGGAGGATTGCCCAGCTAGCATTGTTGCAGTTGGGGTCCCTCATCGGCAGGCTAGATGAGGCAGGGGTACCAGAGAGCTTAGGAGGGTCGTAGGCTGGAGCCAGAGAGTCAGGAGAGATCTAGGACAGAGGTGTGTGGTCCTGGCCAGCGGAGCCTGGAGTTGCCAGAGAGATGCTTCCACACTGGCAGAAAGCCGGGGTTCGTGGCTCAGGAGCATGAAGAGGTGTGTGCAGTGATGAGCATGTAGCCGGAGGCCGGCTTCAGAGTCCTGCAAGCTCCGTGGGAGGCACGGGGATGGCAGACAGGGGGGGGCGGGGGGGGCTGGGAACACACAGGGACGGAGAGGTCTCTGCACCCCCCTGCCTGGTCCTGGGGCTCTGTGCGTGGAAGAGTGTGGGCACCACAGTCCCTGAACCCCGGTCTCCTCCACAGAAGCCCCTGCAACAGCTGTGGAATGCCATCCTGCTGGTGGCCATGCTCCTGTGCACCGGCCTCGTGGTCCAGGCCCAGCGGCAGGCATCTCGGCAGAGCCAGCTTGAGCCTGGAGGCCAGGTGGGAGCCTGGGGGAGCCCCACCCCCGGGGGGGACCCCCTCCCCACCCCCAGCCCTCATGCCAGTGAGCCTGCTTGCTCCTCCCCCACAGGTGGACCTATTCCGCCGGCGTGTTCTACAGAGACTGGCATCCCTCAAGACCCGGCGCTGCCGCCTGGACAGAGCAGACCAGGGGCCCCTGGCACCTGGCCCTGAGACCTGTGCCGTGTGTCTGGACTACTTCTGTCACAAGCAGGTTAGTGCCTCCAGCCCATTCCACAGAGACCCCAACCACCCGAGGCACCCAGCCTGTGGACTGAGCCCAGGGGCCGAGCCAGGCCTCTGGGCCCAGGGTTCCAGCTCAGGTGCAGGGATAGGACGGGCACCTAGACTGGGTTCTGTCCCTGCCCGCAGTGGCTCCGGGTGCTTCCCTGCAAACACGAATTCCACCGCGACTGTGTGGACCCCTGGCTGCTGCTCCAGCAGACCTGCCCACTGTGCAAATTCAACGTGCTGGGTGAGCAGGGGTGGGCACCCTCCGTCAGTGCCCCCAAGCCCCTCCTGACACCGCCTTCCCCACCCTCATTCCTCCCCCACCCCTGCAGGGAACCGTTACTCTGATGATTAGCTGCCCACCTGCACTCTGGCCCTTGGCCTGGGCTCCTGGAATTGGACAGCAGGGCGATGGGACAGCGCCCTCCCAGGGCAGGGGCAGTGTGCCCCTTGTGTCCACGCTGGGCAGGATGCAGGGCTGGAACCAGCTGGTGCAGGACCAGGCTGCTGGGGCCCCTTTTCTGTGGTCCTGGGGATTTCCACGGGTGCTACTCAGCATCCAGGCAGAGGCCTGGGTGAGGCTGAGGCACTCGGGGGTGGAGGGGTGTGTGTGTGGCTCTCTAACCTGTTAGGGCCTCCCTGGCAGCTGAGGTGTTTTTATTTATTGGGGGGTGGGTTGGGGGAAGAGACATTCTAGTCCTAGAGGCACCCTGGCCTGACCACCTTTGGGACTCACCTCAGTTACAGCTATATTGTGGGAGCCCCCTCCGCTACCCCACCCCCCCAGAAGTGGGCCCCACTGTGCACGAGTGCCCCACCCCCACCCCGCCCCCAGGCCTGGCTGGGACCAGAGGCCTTCGAGACTTTCAGTTGGACTTCTCAGCGAGGGCTACATGTGCCAACGGGACCCTGACACCATGGTGCATCTTCCAGGGACATCGGGTTTTTTTAGGGAAGGTTTGGGTTGGGGAAGGTTTAATATGAAATTAAACATGGATATATTTTAACAGAAGATATGAAACGTTTGTGGATTTTTTAAAGATTAAAAAGTCCCCTTGGACTCTATCCCTATGGGAGCTAGAATTCTGCACTGCTGCCCCCTTCGAGCAGCTTTAAAGGGCTTTGCCTCCAGTGGTGCAGGTATGTTTCTGGCTCCGACCCATAAGCATCCAAGTGGACCTGCGGTAAGCGCACTGCAGTCTACTCTGGATGGAAGTAAAGGAAGTCAGATTTTCAAGCAAACTGATGTGTGAGAAACTTTGACTGGAAGGCGGAGCCGGGTAGGGGGTTGGGGGTGGGGAGCATGTGGCTAGGAATGTGGATGGCTTTTGCGCTGGGAGGCTCCAGCTGACAGCCAGCCAACAGGCCTACAGCCACAAGGATGTGAAATCCGCCCAAAGGATTCTTCCCAGGGGCCCTCAGGTGGGTGGGAACGCAGCCTGGTGGCAGATTGCCCCCGACCGGTCCCTGAGCAGAGAACCCGTCACATAGTGCCAAGCTGTGAGCACAGGCAAAGGGGGAGTTCTCTGTCCTACAAGGTCACTGTGGGTCGGACTCATTTGAAGCATGGAGCTTGGATTTTTGGTTTGGCAAGTAGGTGGAGGTCTGAGACAGGAACCGAAAGGCTCTGCACCTGGACTCGGGCACAGCACCATGCCTCCATCCGGAGCCCCACCCTGGGTGGGCGGGCTGGGGCCCAAGCTCCCGCAGGAACTCGGCTCCACTGAAGCAGGGAGGGCAGGCGTGGGCAGTGCCAGCTCCGTGGTGCACACGCCCTCTGGGTCCTTTTCTGTAAATGAGGTGCGGTAGCCTCAGCAGGGAACTGTTCAGCCGGGAGTGCCCTCCCTGAGGAGCCCCCAGCACGGCCTCAGAGCCGGCTCTCACTCAGGTGGGGGCGACTGGAGGCAGAACGGTGGGGCGCTGCAGGCCTGGTGGGGCTGGGTGGGTCCCAAGGGCAGACTGGAGAGAGCCAGGGATGCTGTGGGTTCTGTCTCAGGGCTGGACGAGGCCTTGTCCTGACCTCAGGCCTCCTGGGCAGTGGGGCTAACCTGAATTAGAGAAACCCATCCTCCCACTCTCTGCCTCCTGCAAGTGAGTGAGACAGGGCTGACTTGCGGGATGTGCATTGCCCTCTCCCCAGACCTCAGCAGCCCCCACCCAGGAGGGGAAAGGTAGGACCCTTTCTCCAGTCAGCCAGTGCTATGAGGCAGAGATGGCAGTGAGCAGATGGCCCGGGCTTTATTAGACAGGTGGGTGGCCAGCTATGTGCGCCGTTCCTGGGGCTGGTGGGTGGAGCCGGCCTGGCTCCGGCACGGCGACAGTCTCCTCCTCAGCCTGGCCAAGGCTCGGATGGGGTTCTGGGAGCAGATGGCGGAGTGGGGCACATCCTCCAGGGGGGGCTTGCTGGGCTGGCTGCCGGGCTGCTGAGATGGGGATGCTCGCCGCTGGCCTGGCAGGGTCCTGCCTGCACTGCTCCTTCTGCTGCCCGGTGGGGGGCGCCTGCCCAGGGACCTGCAGGAGGAGCAGACCACCAGTGCCCCATGAGCAGCAAGCCAGGACCTGCCCACTCTGCCTGCCCCCTGCGGCCAAGCCCCACTCACCCTGGGGAGGCTCTGCGGGCCTCGGCTGGGTGGCCTGTTGCTAGGGTTCCTTTGGCAAGAGGGGACCAGAGCTGGTCCTGGGGTATCAGCTGTAAAGAAAGCCCAGGGTGGCTCCCCACTTTTCAGAGGCAGTGTCATAGCTGGAGGTGTGGGGTAGGCAGTGTGAACCTGGGCCCGTGGCCCTTCCCACTGAGGGGCCCCGTTTAGGAAACTTGTAGGCCCGTCCTCAGCCAAGGTGGCCAGTGTTGGAAGGTCCTCATTCCCACGAGGCTCCTGACTGCGCTTGGGATAAAGGTCCAAAGGGCTATGAGATGGACGTGGAGTCGAGGAACTGGACCCACGCCCTCCTCACGCCTCCTGGAAACGGAGGACAGTGACATACAAGCCTGAACCAGCCCGACCCCAAGGCGAGCCCATCGGTGACCGGCGACCCCCCTGGTTCCCAGCATGCAGTGTGTGACTTTACTATACTGAGCCTCTCCAGTTCCCTGGGGACCGGCTGCCCACCTGGAGGCCCCCCTGCTGGGCCACCTCCTGGATTTTGGACAGCATGGCCTGGAGCCGCCCGTTCTCCTCCTGCAGGACCCGGATGCGGATGCTGTTGGCCTGCACCTGCCTCTCCATGTCTTCTGTGACGTTGCCAGAGCCTGTGGGGGGACACTCTGTCTGGGACCTCACCCCACTGGGCCTCTCCTACCAGATGGAGAAGGACCTCAGAGGGAAGATGGGGCAGGGGGCCAAGTCCTTGGACCTCCCATCTGACCCACCACAGCGTCCTGGCCCCTACTTTGGATCTGTGCCTCAAGGGGCTGGTGCAGGTCCGGGAAGGCCACCAGCAGCCGCTCCCGCTCCTTCAGCTCCAGCAGCTCCCGCTCCAGCTCTGAGATGGTCAGTCGCAGGTCCGTTGTTGCCTGCTCCAGGCCCTGCTTCTCCCGCTGGAGGCTCTGCAGCAGCTCCTGGGGCAGCAAGGGGAGGGTCAGGCCTGCGTCCCCGGGGGCAGGCAGCCCCAAACAAACACACACAGCCTGCTGGTTCCCTAGAGGGGACAGCTCCAAACACAGAACCTGGCTCCCTGGAGGATAGACAGACAGACACACAGCCTGGCTCCTGGGAGAAAACAGCCCCAAACACACAGCGTGGCTCTCTGGGGGATGGACAAATATACACACTGCCTGGCTCCTCAGGGGGACCGCCACACACACACACACACACACACACACACACACACACAGCCTGGCTCCCTAGGGAATCGCTCTCCGCCCCATCCATGCGTCCCCACCCTGCTCCCACCTACCTGCTGGGCGAGGAGCTGGCACTGCCCCTGCGCTCCCTCAGTCTGCAGGCTCTGTAGCTGTTCCTCCACCTGGGCCCGCTGGGCCTCGGCCTCGGCCAGGCTGCCCTGCAGCTCCTTACGCTCCTGGTCCAGGCTGTCCAGCTGTTGCAGTAGGGCTCTCTGTTTGGCCTGCAGGGACTAAGCAGGGGTGGGATAGGGGAGGCTGTGTGGCGACAGGTGCTCCAGCCGCTGAGCCTGCTGCCTTGGCCCTGAGTGTGTGCTCTGGGCCCTGCCTCTGTCCTCTCTGTACTTGCAGCTGGGAGCCACTTAGCTCCAAGACCACTGCCTCCAAGAAGCCTTTCTAGATCCTGACAAGCACAAGGGGGCACCTCTCCTGGGGCCCTAGCCTCCCACCATCTGGCAGAAGGCTGTTGGTGACACATCTGCTAACTCATCATGGTCTCGCCTGGCCCTGGTCGCTGTCCAACCACATTCAGCACAGTGCTGGACCTCCAAAAGGGATATAGGGAGTAGGTGCCCTCCCTTGATGGCCTTCCCCATCTCCAGAGCCTCTCTCCTGCAGCCCACGTGGTAGGGGCCCAGCCTCACCTCCTGGTGGCGGACCATGCTGTCAACACGGGCCTTCTCTTTGTCCAGCTCTGTGCTGGCCCAGCGGATCTGCTGGCTGGCCTCGTCCAGCCGCCCTGCCAGAAGCTTCACCTGTCCCTCCAGCTGCTGCACCTGCTTCTCTGCTGTCACCCGGCGCTCAGCCTCACCCTTCAACTGCTGGGCCGTGGCCTCTGCAGGGTTGGGGGATACAAGGGAGAGTCGGACAGGGCTCTCTTGCCTTTGCTCCAGGGTCTGTGAACCCGGCTTAGGAGGCTCGCTATGGGCAGGGGCTGGCACCCCAGTTCGGGCCCTCATCCACCAGTGTGGTCAGCTGTGCTCCTCTTCACCCCACCACGTGGGCCCCCTTTTTGTATTTGTCACATATCTCCAGGGGAGAGAAGTGGGGCTCCTCACCAATGGCCTGCGTGGACGCCTGCTTTTCCTCCAGCTCCCCCTCCAGCATGGCCACCTTTGTCTTGAGGTCACTTGTTTCTATGGCAGCCAAGAGAGAGGCCTTTCAGCAGCTCCTTGGGGCCCAGCTGCCTTGACGCCCCACAGGCTCTACGACAGGGCTCTGGGGTAGTGCCTGGAGAGCTTGGCCCTTGTCCAGCCGGCTGGGCTCTCTACTCCTCTCTGGGTCTCAGTGTCCTCGTGGACAGGGACAGGGAGGCTCGGAGAAGGCTGGGACCTGCCCAAATCTCCCTGGCCTTGCATTTGTGGATACTGGCTGGCCTCCCAGGCCAGTTGCTATCTCTTTGCCTGATGGCTTTTGCCAACCTGCAGCTGTTCTGCTTGGCTGGAAACACCCAGGGCATTCTCTGACGGGCATGACTGGGGTAAATGGGCAATGCTCGCACCCCTCTGGTGGCATTACTCAGGTGTGTGCTTCCCAGTGGGGCTCAGCTGCCTGGCTTCAGGAACAGTACCTCTGATGCCTGGATGTCTCTCATCCCCACTCCCTAGGCTGGGTGCCTTGTTCTCCCACACTCACAGGGCCAGCTTTGAGAGAGCCCCACCCACCAGGCTTGTGGTAGAGCTTGTGGGCCACTAGAGGGTCCAGCCTCTGGGGCACAGACCTGCAAGCAGCTGCTGTCTGTCGCTCTCCCGCTCAGCCAAGTGCTGTTTGGCCTCCTCGGCCTGCCGCCGTCTCGCCCCCTGTTCCTGCTGCAGCGCCTGCTCCAACTCCCCCAGCTGCTGTCTCAGGCCGTCCTTCTGCCCCTCGGCCTCCTCCAGCTGGGCCCTGAGGGGCCCGACCAGCTGAGTGAGGGCCCCCACGTGCTTACTGAGGCGCAGCAGGTCTTTGTTCTGCTCTGCCACCCACCGGCCCACAGTGGCGGCCGGCAGCGGCCGGAGCCCCATGCTGTCCTGCACTAGCTGCTGGAACTGGCCTAAGGACGAAGGCAGGTTCTGGCTCTGACACAGGCTGATGACCACCTTGCCCACCTCCCGAAGGCTGCCCTGGACGCTGGTACACGCGTCACAGGGCACCAGGGCTGTCTCAACTGTCTGGCAGTGAACACTCCGGGTGCTCTCGGCAGTTCTGGCCGCACGCTCTGGTGGGGCTCTGGCAGGGGCAGTGTCAGACTCTTGGCAGGGCTGGGACAAGCCTGGTGTCGGGGAAGGCGGCTCGATAGGCTTGGCAGTCATAAGTTCAGGGCTCCTGGCTGGCTCGCCCTTGGCCATGGGCTTGGATGTAGGGGTCTCCCCCTGGTTGGTCCTCTGTGACCAGGAAAAGAAAGGGCAGCAGGTGAGGCAGGCAGACGGGGAGGTTACCAGGGCCCTGGGGTTGTCCTCTGAGCAGCCTACTAGCATGATCTGATGCCAGGGTGAACTTGGCTGCCCCTAGGTTCCATACAGTTCTACGGCTGGTACTAGGAAGGCGACAGGGACAGCTGCTGGGTAATGGACCTTTGTGTCAACACAGTGGACCGCAGCTTTGGTTTCCTCCTTTGCTGGGCGGCTCAGTGAGGATGAGAGGACCCTCTACTGGTAGCTCTGAGCTCGGTGAGCACCACCATCTACAGCATTCTTCAGAGAGAGGGATGTCCAGAGGGCCCCGCTGCATACACAGCTGAGCCAGGCATCCCAGGCACATGCCCCAGGCATGCATCCTTAACCCCTGTGCCTGCTGGGTGGTGGGGAGCCAGTGTAGACCTGGGGGCCCAGGGGTACTCTAGGAAGTTTGGGCTAGGTGGCTTGGAGTTAGGGTCAGCGCATAGGGACATGGCCAGAACCCGAAGCAGGTGGGGTGGGAATGGGGCCAACCTACCTGGGGAGCCACCTTTTGGTAGAGCATGCCCACCCTCAGCAGGCTGTTCCAGAAGCGCCGAACTGTGAGCCCCACTGACATGCAAGGGCCGGAGGCCTGGACCGGGGGCAGCATCTGCACTGAGCCAAGGTTCTCCAGGTAGCTAGCACAGCTCTGAAGCAGCAGCAGAAGCCTGCGGGCAGAGATGCTAGCAAAGGCCAGCTGAGGCCAGCACCCCCAGGACCACATGCCCTTGGTTCTTCATTTCCAACTTTTGCATTCTCGGGGACACAGGGAGGCTAAGGAGCCCTAGTAGCCTAGTGGTTGTGTGCTGGGCTGCGATTTGCAAGGCTGGCAGTTTGAAAGCACCAGCAGCTCCATGGGGAAAAGTCAGGGTTTTCGACCCCCATAGAGAGCTATAGTCTCTGAAACTCACAGGGGTGCTTCCACCCTGTCCTATAGGGTGGCTATACTCAATGGCAGTGAATTTGATTTGGTTTTTGCAGAGGCTAACCCAGGGGTTACTTCTTCCAGGAAGACCTCCCTAATGTCCAGGTCCCAACTCAGGGGCCTCTTCTGGGCCTCCTGGTGGCGGCACTTCCATTTGGCTGATTCCCACTAGACCAGGGATCTCTAGGGAACTGATACGAGGCCTGGTATCAGTTGTTCCCTAAGTGCTCAGAGTGCTGGGTGCATGGCTACCCTTTACAGCTGACAGCTGCAGGGTAGGACAGCACCCAGCCCAGAAGCTTCTGCCACAGGATGAGCTACCCTGTGACAGTGGAGATCGTGGACAGAGACAGGTCTCAACCTGAACCTGGAGGTCCAAATGAGAGCCAGGAGGCAGGTAAGGCTTGGGCTCTGTGGGGTGGAAAAGCACCAGGCTAGAAGACAGGGGATCGATCTGCTCAGACAGACAGACCCACACAGAGGAGTGGCGGAGTTTGGGGGCACAGGGAGCCTGGGAGATGACTGTGAGCCCTGAGCCCCCATCAGTCAGTGGGATTATCACAACAGCATCACCTTTTCTGGAGGGGTCTTTTGGGCACATGCCAGTTGGGGCTCTCACCTGTCGATGACCAGCTCCAGCAGCACGGCATGGGACAGCTGTGTGAACTCGGGGTCACCGGGCACATGGTCATAGTGCTCCAGCAGGGCCACCATGTCTAGGTCGCAGGCCACGCGGTCTGGGAACTTCCAGGAGGGGAAGCGCACAGGCCCAGCTCGGGAGAAGACGTCCACGATGGCGCCCTGCAGGTCGGTGAGATCCCTGCGCAGGTTGTCCATGCAGGCCTGGCTGCCCAGCAGATGCGCCATCCTCAGGGCTCCTGGGCAGCCAGGGAAAAGCAGGGTCACCGAGGCCAGGCAGCCACCGCCCGAGAAACTTTCCTAGAGCGCTTATCTGCTGGCCAGCCCGAGGTTCTGCCCCATGTCACATATTCCCCTGATTCCATCACTCTCAAGCACCCCCAGAGCTATGTGGGCAGGCCCCATGCTAAGGCCTGGGCAGATACAGTGGTGAGCCAGAAGGGCCTTCTCCACCAGGGCACACCACCCAATTCAGCTGCTGACAGGAGTTACAGATCCAGCACGGCAGGATGTGCTGGCCACATCAGGCCACTGTCACCGCCCGCCTGGACACCTGCAGCAGCTGACAGCTGGCCCACAGGCCTACATGCTCATCTCAGCAACTCTGGCTGCCAATGTCTTGCTGGCCAACCACCCACTCCGGTTCCTGCTGACTCTAAGGAGTCCACAAACTCCATCCATCACCCCCTCTCTGTGTTAAATGTACCACCCCACCCACCAGCAGCTCTGAGTAGCTCCTTGTTTGTGAACCCTTGCTCATCAGCCCCTTCTGTCTGAAACATGCCTTGCCTCCAATCCCTGGCACCTAGCTCACTCTGCTCAGCCTTCAGGGATCCTGGGCCACCTCCTCCAGGAAGCCTTCCCTGAGTACCCTCCAGACCAACTTGGATCCTCCCTCCGGATTTCCCCCATTCCACATTCTCTGAAGGCATGGCCTCCCCACTCCAGGCCAGCAGGTGCTCAGCCCATCTGTTCCATGGTGGGCTTGCTTGTGGGGACAGCCCAGCCTGGCCCCCTGCCCAGGCTCATTGGCAAGTGAAGGACTGAGGGAGTAAATGAATTAAAGAGTTAAAAAATCCACAAACAAAAACTTAAAATGCATGGACTTTTGGGGGAGGGGGGACTGGTGGGGGAGAGGGAGACAAGTCCTAAAGCATAAGAGGGGAAGAAATGAAGACTCATTGTGTTAGTCTGGGTACTTTAGAGAAGCAAATCCACAGAAACTCATGGATAAGAGAGAGTTTTCTATAAAGGTTAAGTGTGCATCAAGAAAACATCCCAACCCAGTGCTGCCCAAGCCCACAAGTCCAACATTCACCCATTAACCCGTATGTCCAACACCAATCCACAAAGTCCTCCTCCATCTCACAAAACACACACTATGATGCCAACTGCAGGAGGAAAGCCGAGTCAGTGAATGTGTAAGCATCTCAGCGCTGGCAGGGGTCTGGGCCAGCACCCAGGGCTGCTTCGGGGTAGGTTCATGTGGCTTTTCCTTAGGGATGTCTTGCAGGCAGTCAGCCTTGCAAGCTGAAGCAGGGAACTGCTAAGGCAGCTGCACCCTGGTGCGACCATCACAAAGCAAGAGACCTGAGAACTTGAAAGGGAGGATCCCTGAGCCATTTATCCCTCTGCCCTCCAATTAACCCCACGTTTATTGGCCAGGTTGGCACAATACACTAAGTAACTCAACTCATATTGTCTTACTGAATCTTTCTGGTGACAGGGAGCCTGTAGCTTCCCACAGGTGGCCTTGAACAAGTCACTGCATGGCTCTGGTTGTAAACGGAAGGCATGTCCCAGCCAGGCAGGCATGCATCAGCAAGGCCCCTAGGGAAAGCACCCAAGCCATGCTATGATTGTTACTAAAGTGTGAAAACAGCAGCATAGACTGCCCTGGTCTTGGGCCATGATGGGCGCCTACGCATCCCGGATTCCCCTCGCCCACCTGAAGATAGAGACTTGAACGCACTGCCCATGGCCCCTGACTCTGGGAGAGTAGGGACTGGCCCTGCCTTGTCCCCATCGTAGGTCTCATGCTGTAGTGAATATGTCCTCCAGCAGGGCTGGGGACCAGTCAGTTTCCCAGGCAGCACTGGTGGGTGTTGAGTAATGTCCAACCCCAGGCCCTCCCCACCCTGCCAGCAGGGGCTACTTGTCCTTTCTGGAGTTTTCAGCAGCAGAAAGCCCCTCTTGGTGCCACAAGCCCACCTGGGTAATGCAGGGAGTATTTAGGCTAGGGCCCATCTGGCACCCAGCAACTTTTAAGGGACCTCCCTTCCCCAAACACCCTCATCTCAGAAAACAGCACCCCCCCCACCCCCTCAAGTGCCCTTTCCCTCATGCCCACACGCAAGCACCAGACTCAGCCAACCCCCCTATCCAGACCCCACAGGGAGCTTGCTGCTTTAATGGGCACTGGTCCAGACCCGACACCCCCCAGCCCACCTGCTAGCTTCCCTGCGCAGCCCTGCCCATCCACTCGGGTCATGGCTGTCTTATGATTATAACTCAGTCTGTCAACCCTGTTGAGGGCCGTCAGTGGCTTTCCACAGCTCTATAGACTGGACACTTCTTAGGGTGGGGCCTCACAGCGTGTGTGGCTAGCCTCCACCTCTTTGTCTCACCACCCAGAATGCTCCCCACCCTCTGCACTTCCCATGGGGAAGACACTTCCAGAGCATCTAGTGTACCTCCTCAGGAGAGCCTCCTGGGAGGCCATCAGCCATTCTCAGAGCACCCTGTTTTCTCAGCAGACACCTGAACGGGTTGGGCTCAACTACATGGGTGAGGGTGAGAGATGAGGTGCCTGTTCCCACAAAGCTTTGAAAAGCCTCAGAAACCCTCTATAGGGTCGCTACGAGTCGGACACGGCTCAATGGCAGTGTGGTTGCCCGCCTCTCTCCCCTTGGAGTAGTGGACCACATCGTCTGAGTTCACTGCAGTGGGCTCTGGCAGCCTGGGGAGCACCCAGGCTCCTGGAGGGCTGAGCTGGCCTCTCTGGCCTCCCAGAGGACTGGGCCCTGCCCTCACCTCTGTGCAGGTGCTTGCTGTGGAGCGGGAGCTGCAGTGTCTGAGTGTGTCCAGCTCTCCGGCTGACCTGTGGCTTCCTGTCTCCAGAGCAGGGTCTAATTGCCCTGGGTAGCTGTTCTGTCCCTGGGGGTGGATGAAGGTGACAGTGAGTGACAAGACAATCAGACTTCCTGGGAGCGGGGGATGGGCTGCCCAGAGGGGGGCTGCCATTCCAGGCTTGAGGAATGAGATGAGGAAAAGGAAGGGGGGTGGGGAGTGTATGTGTGTGTGGGGGGGGGTGGGGGGGGTGGGGTGACGCAGCTGTGAGCCTGAGCACAAAGTGGTGTTAGCGTCCCCTTTAAGTAGATGAGGAAACCAAGGTTTGGGAAGGTCAGGGGGCAAACCCAGGGTCACTTAGGGAGCTGAGATTCCAAATCCAACACCTGTGCTGGGTGCTGAGAGCAGCACTTCAGAGGAAAGGTTAGGTAAGAGCCACAGAGGAACTCTGAATCTCTCCTAGCTACATTTTAAGAAGTAGAGAGAAACAGGTTAATTCATTTTCATATTAGACTTTATTTAACCCAATGGACCCCAAAGAGTATCATTTCCGCATGGAATCAGTATGGTTATTAAGGACGTGTTCTCCATTCCCTAGTGCGCCAAGTTTCAAAGTCATAATGAGCGTTAGATACTCGCTGCCCATCTCAACTCAGGTCAGCCACCAGTTCTGCTTCACAGCCACACGGGCTGGTGGCTGCCATCCTGGACGACAGGTGTGGAGGATCAGACACTGTGCTCATTTAGTGCGGTGTCCAGAACTGGGGACAGAGGAGGACATACACAGCCCTAGCCTCAAGGACCTACCATCTATACCATCGATGCTGGAGGGTGTCTGTGAGCCCCAGGGTCTCTACCAATATGGATGGGAAAGTCATGCGTGTCTACCCCCAGCAGGCACATACACATAATACTCTACCACGGGCCACATCCTGCTCACGTGCTGACTTGGCTACTGCCTCTTGGATTTTGCAGCCCATAAAATTTTATATCCCCAAGGATTGAGGAAGAAATCAGTAGCAAATAAATAAACAGACGGCAGCATGCTGTTTCCTTCCTGTAATGGGGGCGAAGGCAGGCAGTAAATGAAGACAGTTACAAGCCCCAATAAGGACGAGATGTATTTGGCTGGCAAAACACCTGCAGCTCATGGAGCTTGCTGGTCTACCACACCAGGAAACCTTCACCTGTCCACCTTCCCATCACGATGGCTGCCATCGGGGGCGTCTTAGGTACCAAGCCCATTAGAGTCTGGCTCAGAGAAGTGGCAGCAAGCGAGCAGCAAGGCAATGAACGAGACTACCCATGAGGAAAACATAGTGTTGAAAACAGCCAACACTGTCTTCCGTGGCTTCTTCTGAAAATTGGGATCATGCTAAGAATGCATGGTGATAGAGCCACTTAGGTGTGGAGCACATGAAGTAAAACCTGACACAGGCTTTTTACAAACAGCGTCTCACCCTGGAACTACAGCCCAGCACTGCCCTTTGCATCTGTGACTCGCAAGCCAGCACTGCCATTAGCTTGGGGCCAACTTGACTCTCCAGTTCCCTCAGGCTTAGGGTGTGCTTCCTCCTCCCCTCCCACTCATCCAAGGAGCCCTGCTGGCAGAGTGCGTTACCCTCAAGGGCAGCACCTTGAACCCACCTGTCCCTCCAAGGGAAAAAGATCAGACTTTCTGTTGCTGTAACAATTTAGTCTTGGAAACTCACAAGGGCAGTTCTATTCAGCACTAAAAGGTCACTCTAAATGGGCATCGCCTTGATGGTCATGGCTTGGGCTGGTTTTCATTCAACATTCAAGCCCCTTCCCCTCTCTGAGCCTCAGTTCCCAAGGCCACAGGTAAAAATTACACCTACAATGCTCAGATTCAAAGTCACTGCCATGTAAACATTTGGGAAACTCTAACGCCAGCTCTCAGTCCCTTAACTAGGAGACTGCTAATTGCCTGGATCCCTGGAGGCACTTGAAGGGGCAGAGAGAAGACAAGGGAATAAGGAACCTCCCTAACAGAGGCTGGGCCTGGGTTTGGACTTCCACTGTGCCAATTCTGAACTTCACTGGCCCCATCTATCTGTCCATCGGTCGCTATAAGGGATAAATGATATAATGCATACGAAATGCTGGGCACAGGGGCTGGCGCCGACAACGGTTCAGGAAATCCTGGCTGTCATTCGTCCTCCCCATTAAGAGCAGCAGCGATGACACAAGCCAGCTATAGTTTTATCTGTGATGGAGAACACTAACCCTCACTTTCACGCGAGGAAACGGCAGCCCAGGCACTGCTCAAAAGCCCCGCACCCTGGACTGGGCGGCGGGCAAGGGCGCAGGGATGAGGGGGCCTCCGGGAGGAATTCGATTTGGAAGGGGTGGGGGGTCATAGCAATAGGGAACTGGGGCTTGGAGTATCTTTAGGAGGCGGGGTCTGAGGTGCGGGGAATTGGCCGGTGGAGGAAAGTGGGGGGCCGGGCCCCGGGTGAGTGCTGGGGGCGGGTGGCGGGAGGGTGGGACACCTCACCTGTCTCCAGCTTCGCGACTTCAGCCCCTGGCTCTGGCCGGCACACGGAACTGGCCCCAGCGCGCTCGCAGTTCCCAGGATCCCTAGCAACCCCTAGCCGGGCGCCCCGCCGCTGCCATGGCAACGGCGTCGCGAGCGACCGGTTCCCGCGGAAGGGATGGATAAGCCACGCCTTCGAGAGGGCTGGTCCCGGAAGTGCGTCATCCCGGCCCCCGGAAGCTGGTTCCCTCGACCGTCGCCCCCGCCATTTTGCGAGCTCCTCGTCCCGTCTGTACGGGAAACTGTCTTCACTCTGCACTGCTCAGCTACACGGAGGCGGACTGGCAGCCCTGAGCGTCGCAGTCATGCCGGCTGGACCGGTGCCGGCGGTGCCTCCGCCGCCTCCCGTGGCCGCCGAGCCCAAACAGGTACTACGCCTGTGGCGCGAGCCTGAGGCCTGGGCTCTCCGGCGGCGGCGCGCGGCTTCCGCACTTGGGGCGCCTTCCTTTCGGAGGCCTGGAAGGAACTACAAGTCCCAGGAGGCCATGCGCCTCCCGCGCCGCGCGGCTCTCTGGTAGCAAAGAAAGCGCTAGGACTGGGGTTGCTAGCAAAGAAAGCGCTAGGACTGGGGTTCTCTCCCAGGGCGGGTGGTGGTGAACTGTAAGAGTAGGTTTAAAGTGCTTAGAAAAGTATAGGGCACCTCGTATGTGCTTGATACTTGAGGGGGCTTCAACAAGTTAAGAAAAGTGCATGGGGAAATTCCATGACCTTTTAATGCCATTTTCCCCATGAACTTTGTGAAGGCCGACGTATGCTGACCCTTAGGATCGTTAGGGATAGTTTGGGCGACCCGAGGCTCGGGCTTCACCAGGAGAAAGTTCGTGATTTTGTAGCACACCAGAGGGGTCTAGGCCAGCACGCCATGTGGGGTGCGGGCAGGAGTCGAGGATGGGGTTACAAGTATCGGACTAAACCCAATTCCAACAACTACTGCCCTTATAGGACAGGGTAGAACGGCTCCATTTGGTTTCTCAGACTATTTAAAAAGAATTTTTTTTCTGGGGTGGTGGGGTGGGGGAAGCTGAAACCAGGGGCTCGAGTAGAAAGGAAATTTTTGAAAATGATGATGGCAACATGTACAGATGTGCTTGACAGTACAGATGTTTGTATGGATTGTCATAAGAGTTGTACGAGCTCCCAATAAAATGATTAAAATGCATTTTTTTTTCATGTCTTTGAAATGAACCTATCACTAAGGACTCCAGCCCACTTCATTTTTCACTTTTCCTCCTCTTTTTAGGGCTAAAGAATCTGGAGGGCTTTGTTTTTGTTTGTTTGTTTGTTTGTTTTTTAAGGTTCAGGCCTTCACTTTTTTTAAAATTAATTTGGTTTTTAAGGCTGTAAGTCTTTATGGAGCAGATTGCCTCATCTTTCTCCCATGGAGCAGCTGGTGGCTTGGAACCACAGACCTTGTGATTAGCAGCCTAACCTACAGCACCATCAAGGAAAGGGAGAAACTTTTTTTTTTTTTAAGATAGGCCACTTGCCCCTTTGTTTCCTAAGGGAGAAACTACTGAGGAAATTGGAATATAGCATGTTGGATCCTGTGGGACAGTTATTGTTGACTTTTCCATACAGTTTCACAAAGCATTTGAGCATTGAATGGTGGGTGAAACCACAGAGGGACACCGAGGGAAAGGCCACTCATGGCACAGGGAGCCACCAGCAAGGAGTTGTTTATTCACAAGCAGGCATTAGCATACCCAGCCAAGTTCTGCACTAAGTGTAGGGATGCATCTGGGATGCAGATTCCTGGTCCCGCTGAAACAGTCTAGCTGGAGTGGAGCCTTCCTGGGCTCCATTTGGTGCCCCAGGAGAGTCCCGTGCAGGGTCAGTACAGTTCAAAGGACCTGGATCTGAGGGAGGTCTAGAATTTTCTGAGGACAAAGCCTGTGCCCACCATAATGTCCCAGTGTGGTGGGAGTTCCAATCCCAAACCAGAAATATCAAGACCTTGTTTCCTTGTCTTCTTTCACAGCCAACAGAAGAAGCGGCATCCTCGAAGGAAGAGTCGACCCCTTCCAGGCCAGTGGTGGGGATTATTTACCCTCCTCCTGAGGTCAGGAACATCGTTGACAAGACTGCCTGCTTTGTGGCCAGGTAAGAGGCAGAGGTGGGTGTTAGCACCAAGAGCTCCGGAGGCCACGTGAGAGTGTCGCTTGGCTTTTTAATGGAGAGATGTTGGCTTTGACCTGTGCCCTCATTTCAAACCACAGCCTGCTGGCCAGGCAGAGAGAGTGAGAGCCCCGAGTCACCAAGAGCCTGCACTTCCACAGTTGGGCGAGGGAGCTGCTTTGTGAAGGAAGGAGGAAGGGAAAGCGAGGACGTGGGTGGCTCTTGTTGTACGGGGCCTGTGTTCCACGGCTCTGAAAGTCCAGTCTGAAAAAGGGTAAAATGCCACCTCGGGATTATTGTGAGATCGTTCAGTTACGTCATAGAAGGTGGGACTTCACAAAATTTGGGGGGAAATTTCATGATCTTCAATTCAATTTTCCGGGAGCTTTTTGATATTCCCTTGTATAGGAATCAACCTTGGCTATCTTTTCTGGTGGGATGGGAATCAGTTTTTGTTCCCTTTCATCCTTAAAGACACAATGCACATCCTCAAAAAAATGGACTCTTATTGATGCCCACTTACAAATTACAGGGTCAGAGAACCCCTACTGTAAGGGATCCTCTGGATGTTTGTTTGTCCTTGTGGATTTTTTTTTAATAAAAGAAGTTGCTCCTTTTTAAAAATCAGGACATTTCACATAAAGATCTGGGTTTGTGGCCGTAGGCTGGCGCTGAGCTGAACTGCTGCCCTCGGTCAGAGGCCACACCTGGAAAGTCACTCCCTGAGCTGGCAGCGCCATCACAGTCACATCATTTTTAACAGGTGGCCCGCCCTTTCCCTGGTCTGGGTGACGTCTTCTGCTGCACCAGCTTGTCTCACTCCATTCCAAGAGTTGCCGTTAACCCGCGGGGTTGGTTAAAAGTGACCTGTGATTGCTTGGACACTGGGCCACATCGGACTGAAGCAGCCTGCATTGTGCTTATGACACACTTTCCAGGCTTGATACCAACTCTTAGAATCAATAAATTAGAAAAGGTGTTGGCACCCACCGGCTCACTGGCGCAGTAGTTCTGCTGTTTGGCTTTCGCTTGCTCCTCTTTCCACCTCGCTCGAGTCCTCTCTTCCTCCTCCTCCTCTTTGAGACTGTTCTCCTGTTAGCAGGGAACTAAAACCAAACCCACTGTCACTGAGCCGATTCCAACTCCGCAGTCCTACCTAGGGTTTCTGAGGCTGTGCGTCCTTAGGGGAACGGGCAGCTGGCAGCTCTGACCCTCGGACCTTGCAGTTAGCAGCCCTGTGCTCATGCTGCAGCACTATCACTTTCGTGTTGTTGTTTTTTTTTAGCACTATCACTTTCATAGCCTGCTTTTCCTGCTGTGCTGTAAGCAGTTTTCTGGGTTGCTTTCTCAGTTTGAATGTCTCCCTTTATTTTCCAGTTTGGTGGTTCCCAGCATTCCAATTCTGTACACGAGGCTGGTTGGGTTGGCAGGGGGTGGGTGGGGTGTGCTCCTGAGTATATTCTTTCCATCTGAGGTCATTTCCTTAGGAGAAAATTCTGGGTACACATTGCTGGCTCAAAGAGCCTTGTTCGAAGCGTTCTTACACATTTTGCCAAATAACCCTTCACTGATACTGTGCCAGGCTTGGCTGCCATGGAAGGAAGATCTTTTTTTTCTCTTCAAGCTTCCTTGAAAGAAAAAAAAAATCAATTCAAGGGCCTTCATAAACTTCACAGGAAAATCTTTGTTGTTGTATTTTCAGCAATTTAATATCAACATTTTCTCAACACTTAAATGAACTGTTTAACCCTTTAAACCCTTGTAATCAGCCTTGTAATCAGTGTGCCTTTGCTACTGATTACACATTTAAGTACACATTTTCTACTTAAAATAACATCTTTCCTTGTTCCTACCAAGATATCAAAATGCATTCTATTTATATGTCTTCTTAATTAATCTGGATTAAATATCCACAAATACTCTTAAGGATGTTATTAATATCATCTTAAGTCCCCTTATTTATACTACTTACATAACTGGTTTTCAGAAGGTTATGGATGGCATTGGGGGCTCAAGATTCATGTGTGGGAACTACCTAGGAAACAAGTCTCTGGTGAACTCCCTCTACCCGCAATTGAGGGTGGGAGTAAAAAGGTTACTAAACAGTGCATTGAAGAGAGGAGTATAGAAAATCAAAGGGATAAAGCTGACTTAAACAGTTAAACCTTTGTCAGTTGACAACCCCACCCCCTTACCCCCTTGATGCATGCCAGACCTGATCTGATTTCCAGCACTTTCTGAATGTTTGGTTTGTATCGTCATATTAGGGAGGATCTCAGAGGAGTTATGTCATTGGAGGTCACCCACCCTCCTGAAGTCATGTTAGAGTCTTGGTTATGAACCTGTACCAGTGTATGAACCTATATTTTGGATAAATGAACCCAAGGGGATAGCAAGCAGAACGAGGGTTTTGGGTGGTGGAGGGTATAGTGGGGGTGGTGGGGCGAGGAGGAGGCAATGTCGAGTCTAGGAAGAAAGAATGTTTGGGAACTCATTATGGTAGCAGTTGTACACTTCTGCTTGATGTGATTGAACTATAGGATGTTATCTATGTATTCCTGATGAGTTTTAAAAAATCGTATTAAGTCAAGGACTTAAATAGCTATTAATAACAACCCATTATCCTTTAATTCCTTAAACATTTTGACACACACACACACACACACACACAGACCCCTGCCCTGGTACACACGTTCTCTGAGCTATGTTGTTTCGGTACTGTCAGATTAGTTCGCGTGTACAACCAAACTGAAATACCGTTCAGTCCTGCAGCATCCTCACAATTGTTGCTGTGTCTGAGCCCATTGTTGATGCTGCTCAGTTGTGCTCCATCTCCTTAAGGGGCTTCCTCTTTCCCCTTCTAACCCTCTACCTGGCGTGCTGTCCTTTTCTGGGGACTAGTTTCCCTGACAATAGGTTCAAAGTATGTGAGACAGTCTCACCATCCTGATTTTTTTTTAATTTATTTAATTTATTTTTAATCATTTTATTAGGGACTTTTACAGCTCTTATAACAATCCATACATCAATTGAATCAATCACAGTTGTACATTGTTGCCATCATCATTTTCAAAATATTTTCTTTCTACTTGAGCCCTTAGTACCAGCACCTCTTTTCCCCCTCCCCTCCCACCCTCATAAACTCTTGATAAATTATAAATTATTGTTTTTATATCTTACACCACCTGCTGTCTTCCTTTACCCACGTTTCTGTTGTTCATCCCCTGCAGGGAGGAGCTTATACCTCAATCATTGCAGTCAGTTGGGCCGTGTGTCCCACACCATCCCGGCTCCTAAGGAGCATCCTGGTTCCACTTCTTTCAAGACAGGCAGTCCACAGTACTTTGCATATTCCTGAGTGAGGCACACCTTAGGCCTCAAAGTGACATCTTTTAAACAAGAGGTCTTTGAAGTGTTGCAGTTACGGTTTGTCACTTTTGCAGGCACTGATGCAATCTGCAAACTTGGCCTTTTAAGCAGGTTGAAATGAAGGGAGCAGAGCAGTGTCTCGCTTGGGTAAAGCGAGCAAACATATTCCGGGACCTTTGCCCTCACTTCTCCCGGGTCTCCACGCATTCACAGAGCTCACAGTAGAAATCACTGGTCACTCGGGATGCTTTTGTGAAAGGGCTTCTTTATTCCTTCTTTGCTGTCTAGGGTAGGCCTTGACTTTCCTTCCCTGAATTTTTTGTCAGGAAACTGAAAAAGCAGTTTACCAGTAGTTCCACCGGCTGGGTTGAGTCAGAATACTGCCTTTGCTGCTGAAATCTAATCCTCGTGTTAGTGTATTATAACCCTAAAATTGACGTTGAGCAACTTTATGCCACAGAACTGCTTGGAAAGAACATGCCTGCCTTCTCATTCATTGTTTTATCCCTCAGATTGTTGCCAGTTGTGGTGAGGCCGTGATGTGGCGACACCCGGAGCCCCCTTTTCAAGCAGCTTTCTGCCTGTCCTGGGAGGTTCTAGGTGTGGGGGCTGTTGAGAAGTGCTGTCGAGTTGGCTCTCACTCAACAGCGACCGCACGCTCAGCAGAACCACACGGTGTCTGGTGCAGCTCCGTCCTCACAGTTACTGTTATGTGTGAGCCCATTGTTGCCGCCACTGTGTCGGCTCTCTTGTTGGGATCTCCCTCTTTTTCTCTTGACGCGCGCCCCCCCCCCAGCTGACCTACCTTGATTATGTCCTTTTCCAGGAACTGGTCTCTCCTGATTCTGTGTCCAAAGTACTTGGCCTGGTTAGCAGTATTTAACTGCATTCCTTCTGTGTGGTTTGTGTTATGTAAAGAGGGGAAAAATAATTCTTCCCGAAGCACGAGGTTCCAATTGAACGGATGCACTGTCAGCTTGAGACCTCATGGTGTGAAGTCCCACCACAGGGTGTGAGCAGAACCTGCAGAAGAACCAGCCTGGGTGTGAGCCACCTCCAGAAAACCAGGATTCAGGGGAAGGGTGGTGGTAAAATCTGTGTGCAGTGGTTTGTTTGGGCCATCTGTGAGTGCAGGGCTCTGGCCAGAGTAGTGACGGGAACCCGACAGACCTTTTTCAATATGTCAATCATCCCAAATACTTAGGCACAATCCTTCTGGCTTTCGTAGCTGGAAAAGCGCCTTGTATTTGCAGGCCACTGTAAGGAGTCCTGGTCACACAGTGGTTAAGCTCTTGAACCCACCAGCCACTCAAGTCTGCTTCTGTAAAGACTCCAGCCTTGAGAATCCTGTGGGGGCAATTCTGTCCTGTCCTAGAGAACTGCTACCAACTGGAATGGACTTGACAGCAGTGGGTTTGGGTATAATTCAAAGGGGCCACAGGTGTCTCCTTAACTAATTGACTCTTCTTAATTTTTCAAGGTAGATCGAGGGTGCAGGTGGGCTTAGCTTTGTTTCACAGATGGGGAATTTAAGAACCAAAGATCCAGTGACTTGGGTTGGGTCATGTGTTGAGTCAGTCATGAGCTTGAAATTTTGAACCTGCCCCTATCTTTTGTCAAAACAACCAATGATCTTTCCGACCTTGTCCCTGGGGCACTTTCAAGGCCAGGTTCCCCCACTCCTTGATGGGAGTTGGAGCCAACTTGACAGCGCCTGCCACATAACACGTCTTGTCTAAGGGACAGTTACTTTCATTCTCTTGAGGCTCTGAAGGCTTGTGCCACATGGGGGCACATCCGGGGACCCATCCTAGGAAGCACTCTTGCTGCGCCTTGTCTTCTGAACGTGCTTTACACAGGACATGGTGGCAGCAGCACAGCTGGGTCCTTGGAGAACAGGGTTTCCTTGTGGGCCTTCCCAGAAGGAAATCTTCTACGCAAAATGTTACACTTCAAATTGTCCAAATGTTCGTGTCTTTTCCAATCTTCCTTGTCGCCCTACTGACCACAGTCTGGTTGCTGCTAATATGTCTGGAACATTTCTCCAGCGTGTGCTGATACCCCTGTTTGCTAAGAGAACTGACCACAGTTTATACTTCTTAGTATCTGATTTTATGACTGCCTTTGGTGAATGATGTGATACTGGTTTTTATTTGATACATTTTTATAAGGTAAAGAAGTTGATACAAGAAGAATGTGGTAGCACAGTATTTGCCAATTCAGTTTAAAAGTAATAGTCCAGATGGTTTTAGTCATGGAAAACATGGCAGAGGAGCTCATAGGAGTGACAGCCTGGGAACCCTGTGGTCAGGGCATCCTGGTCCAGGCTGAATGAGGCAGGTGCCAGGTGCCAGGTGCCAAAGACAACGAGGAGGCCCTCTGCTTGGTTGGGGGGCTGGCTCGTGCACTGGTTAATATGAGGGCTCCGGGGGCTGCTCAAGGATCCATCCAGTCTCTAGCTTTCGTAATTCTTTTTCTTCTTCCAGAAATGGACCTGAATTCGAAGCCAGGATTCGACAAAATGAGATCAACAACCCCAAGTTCAACTTTCTTAATCCCAATGACCCTTATCATGCATACTACCGCCACAAGGTCAGCGAGTTCAAGGAGGGGAAGGCGCAGGAGCCCTCGGCTGCCATCCCCAAGGTCATGCAGCAGCAAGCTACCCAGCAGCAGCTGCCTCAGAAGGTTCGGAACCCACTCCTTCCCCTCACTGCTTTAGGTCCCAGAGGAAGGCGAGGACATGGGGTGGGTGTGCAGAGAGGATGTCTTACAAACGCTTGTTTCCCAGATCTGGGAAACCTCCTTGGGAGAGAAGGTTTGTCACCCCATCTTACAGAGGTGGGAACTGAGAATCAGAAAGTGACATCCTGGTGGTCGCTGGCCTCACACTGGCTGATGCGGAGGCAGGTGACCATTCAACAGAGAAGGAACCTGAGGCTTAGGCAAGTGGGCTTTCCCCAGGCCACGGAGTCAGGGCCCATGCTCTTAGCCTTGACATGGCCTACGGCCAGTGCTGGGATGTGTGCAGGACCTGCCTGTCTGTGCTAAGGTGCTGTGGGCCTTCAGTCTCCCGAATCAGGGCCCCTCCAATGGCTCCCCCTAATTCCGTGCTCCCTGCCTGGGCTCAGGATCGCCGAGGCCGAGCCCTAAGACCCTGTTGGTGGGAAGGCCAGCACGTTGTACGGACAGAACCGACCATCACTTTGCCCCATCGGCCCTGGTGGGCAAGGCAGCATGGCGTTCTGCTGTGAGAAGGAAAGGTGGGTGGCTGAAGTCAGGTTCCGAGACCTTGTATTGCCATTGACTGCTCAGAGGACGTTGAGTACTCTGTTTCCTCGCCTACCAACAGGATTCCTAGTTCCTGTTCTGGCTGCCTCATCGGCACCTAAAGGCGGGCTGAATGTGCGAGCCCTCTGAGGAGTGAGGCTGTCTGCACACTCGGAAGAGCTTACTGCAGCCTTCACAAACCGTGTGGCTGTGGGCTCTTTCCCTGTCTGGTTGTGACCCTCAGTTTCAGGGCAGGAGGCGGGCTCGCACCCGGGGAGTTTAGGCCTCAGGTGGCTTAGAGGTCAGTGCTTTCCTAAGTTAGCATTCTCTCACACCGAGTGCCCCTGATGGGGATGTAGTTAGTGGAAGTGGAGCAGTTGGCACCGCCCTTCAGGGGCCTGTGTACCCCTGAGCCTCTTTCCTCAACCTCCCTCTGCTTCTTAGGTTCAAGCCCAGGTGATTCAAGAGACCATTGTGCCCAAAGAGCCCCCTCCTGAGTTTGAGTTCATCGCAGATCCCCCCTCCATCTCTGCCTTCGACCTGGACGTGGTGAAGCTGACGGCTCAGTTTGTGGCCCGGAATGGACGCCAGTTCCTGACACAGCTAATGCAAAAGGAGCAGCGCAACTACCAGTTTGACTTTCTCCGCCCGCAGCACAGCCTCTTCAACTACTTCACAAAGCTAGTGGAGCAGTACACCAAGGTGCCTGCACGAGGGCTGCCCAGGGATGCTGGGTCCCCGGGAGGAGGCACTGACTAGGCCTTACGTGCACCCTTCCATTGCTTCTGGTGGCACCACTTACCTCCCTGTGGTGCCTCTGGGCAAGTGCTAGAATTGCCATTTTAACCAAGCCTTGATTTCTATCCACTTCCTCTTTTCTACCAACTTGTTTCTGAGGAGAACTGAGGGGCTTGGTTAATGACTGCTGGCTGCTCTTAAGTACATTGACACTTTCAGCTGGTTAGCATGGGGCTCCTTAAGCTCAAGTATGTGTATCTGAGTCTCACACATCCCACCCCCTATTTTCCAGAAAAAGACGTGGAGGCTGAGATGATGTCACTTACTTAGTCTCTCAGCTAGTAAGTAGCTAGGCTGAGATTGAATCCCAAACTCTCAAACCTTTGCTGTTTTTTACCTGATGGTAAAGTAAGTCAGAAGTGTCATTTAAATAAGTGTTGGAAAACACTTCACACAATGGAGGTGAGTGCAGTGAACACTTGGTGTGTACTTACGGGCGGCAGCTTCCTCACACGCCAGTGGTAGTCACTCGTAAGCTCGCTGCAGAAATGGAAGCCCCTCCATTCCCATGGCCATTGGGTCAGTTCCACCTCTCAAGTCGCGTTGCTAGGACCACTCGGCTTGGGAGTCACAAAGCTGGGACTTGAACTCTGGCATATTTAATTAGTATTCTAAAATCAAATTATCCTGCTCATTGCTATAATGGGCAATCTGTGGACAGGTCGTTATGGTACTTAAAATGCCAGCTGGTCCATGAACTGCAGTGTCCACAGTGGTGCGGATTGGCCCCAGCAGTTTTTCTCATGACACTAGTGGAGCTCGTTTTCCACACACCTGTTCTCGACACCTAGGGGTCTGCTCGAAAGCATTCCTGGTGATGTCCTCTGATGGAACTCCCCCTAAGCAAACACCTGCAAGGAATTGTGAAAAATAAGCATGTTAGAAAACTGTCCTACCCAAGTGCTATGCTAGTAGAGTTGTTAAAATGGGTGTCTTTGAAGGCCCAAGGCCCAAACCCGGGATGAACACTAGTTCTTCATTGTCTGCGGTAGTGAGCCACTGCCAGTTCTTCCAGTGGACTGCTGCTAGACTCCCAGGCCCCCAGATGTGCTGCTGTCCTCCTCCTCAGAACTGGGATGTTGACATTGACCCTTTTAACTGCAGGCCAAGGGAAGCTTTAGGAGTAAGGACACGGGTAGAAGTACAAGGAGGACAGAGGAGGTAGACGTGTACCAGGAGCATGTGTGGTGCTGAACCTCTCCAGCTACCACTGGCAGGAGGCGGCGTTATTGGGGCGTGTGGAGTGACTGGCAGTTATGGACAGAGCCAGGGTTAGTTCTCTTAGTAAACATACGAGAGAGCGCACTAGCCAGAGAAACCCTTCTTCCTTTGGAAAGACACCAGCAGGGTTGGTGCACTGTTTGTCAGGTGGTGTTAAGTATTATGGAGGAAAAGAGCAAGATGGGCAGCTAGGGAGGCTTGGGTAGGTTGTGGGCCCGAGTAGCCTGTGGCAAAGGCGAGCCCGATAGACAGGGAAGCATCCCATCCCAACTGGCACTGAGTAAAACTTCCAGTCTTTTTGCTAATCTTTGCGAAACCTCTTAAGTTGATGGCATCTACTTTTGCGCACTTAGGATACCAAGTTACAAAGCCAATGCCCTAAATCCCACAGCTAGTGGAGCTAGGTCAGGGACCCAGAATTCCCTCTTCATCCTGTCTGCTGTGTCTTGCCCACAGGCCCAGGGAGGCATCATCTTACTTACTCTTCGTATCATATTGTGCCAGGAGGTGACGCTATACTGACAGCTTATCTAACGCTTTTGTCTTTCAGATCTTGATTCCACCAAAAGGCTTACTCACAAAACTTAAGAAGGAAGCTGAGAATCCTCGAGAAGTCCTGGATCAGGTAAGCTAAGTAGGAGCTCCCACAGCCGGTCCCTGGTGGTGAAAGCCATGCCCTTTGCGTTCTGTTGCGTGTGTGGAAATGGCTCTGGGATGCAGTTGGTAGTGTTCAGTGCATGTAGCGCTCATCTCGCTCCCTGCCTTCACGTCCATTCTGATTCCTGGTGACCACTAAGACAGAGTAGAACTGCCCCTGTGGGTTTCAGAGACTGACTGACTGCTTAGGGGAGTAGAAAGCCTCATCTTCTGAGCACTTGGTGGTTTCAAACTACAGACCTTGTGGCTAGCAGGCTTTGGATAACCTACTATGCCACCAGGGCTCCATAGAGCTGGGGAGACAAGCCTTAAGAGCCTGCAGGAGCCTCCTCTTGCCAGACTGGGAGATGCTTTTTGCTCTCCTCTGCTTCACGGGCTCCCTCGGGTCTAGCCGGTGCCTGAACTAGCCTCAGATTCCATGCCCCCGCCCTTCACTCTGCAGAGATGGGAGAGCATGTTGTATGTGCCGGCTTTTGTTGTTTGCCTGAAAGCCTTTGTTTCTGTGACTGCCTTTCTGTTTTTCTTGTGGGCACTTGGTTGTTATGCAGACTTCCTGGACGGTTTTACTTCTCTGTGAGCTCAGAGCCCCTCGGCAGCTGAAGTAGAACACATTGTGGTTATAGTAAATGGCTGCCCTGGGGGCCCAGGCTGGGTTTCTGTAGCATTTAGAATTGTCATCTGATCCAAATGCTGGGCCTGGCTGAAGTCAGATGCAAATCCTAAGGTTTGCTCTACAAAGCTCAGCCGCCCCTCCCCGCCCCCTTTCCTCCTGTGTTGAAGGTGCCAGCCTGTGTGAAGGCAGTTGGAGGGGACCTCCTGGTGTGCTGGTCTGGCTCAGTCTCCTGCTGTCCTGTCCCCCTGTAGGTGTGCTACCGAGTGGAGTGGGCCAAGTTTCAGGAGAGGGAGAGGAAGAAGGAGGAGGAGGAGAAGGAGAAGGAGCGGGTGGCCTATGCCCAGATTGACTGGCATGATTTTGTGGTGGTGGAAACCGTGGACTTCCAGCCCAGTGAGCAAGGTAGGCCCAGGCAGCTGTGGGGTCTCAGTAGGCTCTGTCCACATGTTCTATCTGTACTTCTCGGGGATTCACTTCTATTGGTAAAAACAAAAATGCAGCCCAGTCCCACCGCGTGCCAGACCTCTTGAGGGTATGAAGACTGAGAGAGCTCGTGGTAGAGGGAGGGTCCCGGGTGAGGTGCGTCTGTGCAGGGTTGACGCTGGTTCACTCTCTGCCAGGGAACTTCCCTCCTCCCACCACCCCTGAGGAGCTGGGCGCCCGAATCCTCATCCAGGAGCGCTATGAGAAGTTTGGGGAGAGTGAGGAGGTCGAGATGGAGGTCGAGTCTGATGAGGAGGACGAGAAACAGGAGAAGACGGAGGAGCCTCCTTCTCAGCTTGACCAGGACACTCAAGTCCAGGACATGGATGAGGTACTCAACGGGGGCGGGCCTGTGGGTTGACCTTCCCCCTGGGCCAAAGAAATTAGGGTACTCAACAAAGTGTTTGAATTCCAGCTCCCTCAAGCCCCGGAGAGGTGCATGGGACCTTAATGGGTCTGCTGCACTGCTGCCTTGTGAGCCCCCCGCTCTAGCCCAGAAGTCTACCCCTCTCCCACTGCCACCTCCACGCCCACCTCAGTCAGGGCACGTTCTTGGTGTTACCCTGTGCTCTCCAGCACTTAGCTGAGGCCCTGGTGATCCACCCGTTCCCAGACCTTTTCCAAATGTAGCCCACGCTTCCTCTCAGCATCCCTACACCCTTCTAGCTGGGCCCTCCGCGCAGGCTCTCCTGGACCAAGCTGCCCTCCTCCTCTGGGAAAGGCTTTGTGTGCAGCTGGAGAAGAAAGGTCCCTTGTGTCTGTGGGAATTGACATTTTCTCGCCCTCCCAGCCTGGCTCTGTGTGCACGGCCACTCACCCCTGCACCTCCTGCGGCATGTTTCATGCCCTTGGCCTCTTGGGACCGCCTGGTGCCAGCTGCTGGAAATGCCTGGGAGGAGTGTTGGCACCAGGGCCCCCAGTGCTCCCATTCATACCATGAGGAAATAGCTTGGCCTGCTACTGCCAGCTGACCTCAGCTCCTTGCTGCTAGGGTCCTGGGCTCATCACCACCCTGAGCACTGCCAAGGCTTAGCTCAGGGAGGTAGCCACCATCACTTGTCTTACAGGGTTCAGACGATGAAGAAGAAGGGCAAAAAGTGCCCCCGCCACCGGAGACACCCATGCCTCCACCTCTGCCCCCTACCCCAGATCAAGTTATTGTCCGCAAGGACTATGACCCCAAAGGTAGGGCTTGCTTTCCAGCCGCCACCACCCTACCCTCCTACCCCCCACCCTCTCTAGCTGCATGGCAAGTTCTGTGTGCCCTTGAGGGCTCCTGGGACCTGCTTTTCTGGGGAGGGGAGGGCTTGCAGCAGCAGCTTGATGGGGAAAGCCAATGGGGCTTGGTCATCTGGTGCCCTGGCTCCCTGCACAGGTCTTCTTAACAGGCCTGGTGGAACATCATCACCCTCTTAGTCCACTGTCGCCCATCGTTCCTTTCAGCTTCCAAGCCTCTGCCTCCAGCCCCCGCTCCAGATGAGTACCTCGTGTCCCCAATCACTGGCGAGAAAATCCCCGCCAGCAAAATGCAGGAGCACATGCGCATTGGGCTTCTGGATCCCCGCTGGCTAGAGCAGCGTGATCGCTCCATCCGAGAGAAGCAGAGTGATGATGAGGTGTATGCGCCAGGTAAGGTGGGGCTCAGGGCTTGGACCTCCCCACCCCAGCTCTGACTCAGCCCCGGCTGACCGCCCATGGGAATCTCAAAAACCAGTCACCTTGCTTTAAGCAAGCATAGAAAGCAACCACTGAGGTCAGCAGGAACTTCTGTAGGTGGTAGGCCCTGGGCATGACAGAGGAGCTCTTCCTTTTTCCTGAAGGACAGTGTCCAAGGCTGGCATCTGCCGTAGATACGGTGTGTCTGTTGACATCTCAGAAAAAAGATCTGACTAGCCGGGAGGGATGCTCTTTCCTGGGGTTGTTCAAAGGGGGGTGGGGTGGGGGGGCTGGTGGCTGCAGTGCCCTAAGCTCCTTGACTAATTGCTGGGGTGGTCGGGTTACAATTGTGTGCTGAACAGCACAATAGGGAGGGATTTGTCTCCAAAGGCAGCAGACCAGAGTTTTAATCCTAACCTTGCTGTTTGCTGCTCATGCAACTTTGTTCTCTTCAGTTGCCCATCTGGCCTACCGCCCTTCTATAGTTCAGAGAGTTGGACAAGCCTGCTTTGCCCAGTCTCAGGACAGGAGTGCTGTGTTGGGATCTAGAGCCAGCATCATCCCTTGGAACCAGAGCTCCCTCCACCAAGCCGGCTGCTGCCGTGGCAAAGGGCACCTGGATCTGTTTCCTTTTATTACCTCCTGCCTCTCTCCTGTGACTGTCCAGGCCTTGACATCGAGAGCAGCTTGAAGCAGTTGGCGGAGCGGCGTACTGATATCTTCGGTGTGGAGGAAACCGCTATCGGGAAGAAGATTGGCGAGGAGGAGATCCAGAAGCCAGAGGAAAAGGTGCCGCTGAGAGGGCGCCTCATGCCTGCCTTGTCCTCTGCCTCCCACACTCGGCTTGGCTTCAGGAGCTCTGATGACGAACTCTGGCTTTGCTTTCTCTTGCAGGTGACCTGGGATGGCCACTCAGGAAGCATGGCCCGAACTCAGCAGGCTGCCCAGGCCAATATCACCCTCCAGGAGCAGATTGAAGCCATCCACAAAGCCAAGGGCCTGGTGCCAGAAGATGACACCAAAGAAAAGATTGGCCCCAGCAAGCCCAATGAAATTCCCCAGCAGCCACCACCTCCCTCCTCAGCTACCAACATCCCCAGCTCAGCCCCACCCATTACCTCGGTGCCCCGACCCCCCGCAGTAAGTCAGAAGAAAATGAGTGCCTTCTGAAGATGGGTTCTTGGGCGTAGGGGCTGTTGGCTGAGCAGGGCAGCTCCCTTGGTGGGGGTGGGGGTCCTAAGTGAGTCAAGTTGAGAGAAACCCTTCAGCAGGAATAATAGGCACCTCTAGCTTGATCTTCCAGCCGCATAGGAGAGGGAGCAGATGGGTTCAAGGTAGAGAGGTCTGGCTGGTGGTCCATCTCCAGGGGGTATTTGAGGTCAGCCTCCCTGGGCTCTGATGGAGACGTGCCCCGGGGATAATAGACCCTCTAGGCCTCAGGAGGGCCATGTTGGAGCAGTCCAGTTCCCATCTGTGGAGGTTTCAGCTGGCTGGTTACCAGCTATGTGTGCGTAGAGTCCAGCCTTGGCATCCTGTGACCTGTGGATCCCTCCTGACAGATGCCGCCTCCTGTCCGCACCACCGTGGTGTCTGCAGTACCTGTCATGCCCCGGCCACCAATGGCCTCTGTGGTCCGATTGCCTCCGGGTTCAGTGATCGCCCCCATGCCGCCCATCATCCACGCACCTAGGATCAACGTGGTGCCCATGCCTCCCTCAGCTCCACCAATCATGGCACCCCGCCCACCCCCCATGATTGTACCAACAGGTCAGTGTCTCTTGGCGTTGCCTTCTGACGTTGGGCAAGGGCCTACAGACCAAGAACTGTACGCAGGGGAGTGGCTGATGGTAGTGCCCGCTGTTCCAACTGGGGGCCCAGACCAGAGGCTGCTTGCAGTAGCAGTGTCTGCAGCCAAAGAAAGCCTGAGGGGTCAGGCCCTGGACAGGCACAGAGGCTGTGGCTGAGGCTTGTTGCCATCTGGCACCCGATTCGATCATCTGTAGAGCCCATTCTCCCATTCCCTGCTGCCCAATTTGGGCAGTCTTCCAGATCCCCTGCCAGTCAACCTGGCGGGCCTGCCATGGAATGTCAGTTCATACTTCCCACTGGGAGAAGTGCAATCCCTTTCTCCTCACTGGCCGCCTTCTCCACTCTTCCCCTAGCTCATGGCACCACTTCTTCCTGTTCTTGCAGCCTTTGTGCCAGCTCCACCTGTGGCACCTGTCCCAGCTCCAGCCCCAATGCCCCCTGTCCACCCTCCGCCCCCCATGGAAGATGAGCCGACCTCCAAGAAGCTGAAGACGGAAGACAGCCTGATGCCCGAGGAGGAGTTCCTGCGCAGAAACAAGGTACGCCGCCCTGGGACTGCTGGGCTGAGCCTCGTCCCGCCCTGCTCCTCCCTCCCCTACTCCACTTCCATAGTGGTGGTGGTTTCCCCACCTGTGGGGTCAGCAGTAGGGGCCTGAGGCCTCGGAGGGCTTTCTGAGCAAAGACTCAGTGTGAAGCCAGCGTTCGGAGGAACAGACATTTGTGGCTGATCATGGGTCAGGGGTGCCTCTACGGTGAAGTATTGGGGAGGCCAGCAGGGCGACTCAGCTCTGCACATGGCAGGACTGCCATGTGGAAGGGGCCCTGGAAAGTTGAAGAGAATCTGGGCACAACTCTTCTTTTTTAATGACGAGAGGGGATGCGGAGCCTTGGTGGCCCTGTTAGGAAATGCTAACTGCAAAGTCAGCAGTTCAACTCCATGAGCAGGAGGCAGATGAGGCGGTGTGCTCCCATAAAAATGTGTACAGCCACAGAAACCCTACACAGGGTTGCTGTCAGCCATGATCAATTTGATGGCCGTGGCCTTGGGGCGTTAACACAGAATTCCATGAGTAGAACTAATTCCCCAAGGCCCAACAGCTGAGCAAAGTGACCTTCCTCCCCAGTCTAAGTTTTGAAGGTCTGCCCATGGTGCCGAGGTCTTGCTGGGGTCTAGAACCTGGACACTACTGGGCCCTAGGGCAGTTACCCAAGGGGGAGGCAGAAATAGTCCCAGTTCTCCCATGTCTGTGAATTTGGCTAAGTCATGTTTGTTTGTTTTTTCCTGTTAGTAGCTTCCATTTCTTGAGTGTTTAGTGAATGCCCAGACAGAGCTAACCCTTCATGCACTTTCCTGTTTGAAGCTCCCGGCGGGCAGCACTGCTCTGAAGTGGTTGATGCCGGCCCTCTTTGCGGCTGATGCTGTTGACTCTCAGAGAAACCCAGGTCACCTCCTGGCTCCACAGTGTATACTTGCTTTCTCCTTGGCATTTGTAGAACGTTTTCACATAATTTTCTCTCTTCAGCAGGCAGGATGCAGACAGGGAGTTTCTTGTGCACAAATAACTTCAGTTTATAGGCACGGGCCAGCATCTAGTTCAGCTGGATAAACAGCATGGTCTAAATGAACCAGACTTACTGCCCTTAACTTGCTGCTGGCTCGTAGCGACCTTATAGGACAGAGTGGAACTACCACAGAGGGTTTCCAAGGCTTTGACTCTTTCTAGCAGCACACAGAGCCACATTTTCCTCCCTCACCCTGCAGCTGATGAGTCTGAACCACAGTCTCCTTGTAGCTGTCAGGTGCTTTCACTGGGGCTTCTGGCCTAGGGAAACCACCTCAACCTGACCCATGGGCCCTGAGTTGGTTCCAGCCTCGGGAGCAGTTCTGTGTAGGAGCTCTGAGGTTATAACTTTCTGGGAGCACAAAGCCTCATCTTCATCCCTCAAAGTGGGCGGTGGATTCACATTGCTGACCTCACCATCAGCAGCCCAGCGCTTAGCCCACTGTGCCAGCAGGGTATCTTGGCCCAGGAATAGTAAGTAGAGCATAATTCCATCGTTCCTTTTTGGCTCAGGCTCCCCAAGTATCATAGCCACCTCCTGTGTTGCAGGGTCCGGTGTCCATCAAAGTCCAGGTGCCCAATATGCAGGATAAGACGGAATGGAAACTGAATGGGCAGGTGCTGGTCTTCACCCTCCCACTCACAGACCAGGTATGGATTGGGGGCGGCAACGGGCTTCAGGTGCATGGGCACTGTGGGGGTGGGTTGCTCCCTCCAGCTGGTTCTTGCAAGGGGTCAACATTATTCTCTTGGTCCCATAGGTCTCAGTCATCAAGGTGAAGATCCATGAAGCCACAGGCATGCCCGCTGGAAAACAGAAGCTGCAGTATGAGGTGAGTCAGGGTGTCTGCTCCTAGCTCTTGGGTTGCCAGCACTCCAGTGTCCCAATGTTGAAACTGCCCCGAGAGACGATTAGAGGGAAATTTGGGTTCTGCTAACTAAGTTCATCCTAAACGTGATGCTGCTGGCTGGAATTGCTAGGGCATGTTAGCCTGACAGGGTGTGAGACATTGATGGGTCTTACTACAGTTTCACATGGAGTATAGAAACCTTCTTTCTCAATGACTGATTGTTGAAGATGGGTCTCAACAACCAGTGGGGATGGTGTGGGTTTAAGACTTGGGGGTGTCAGGCTGCAGCAGCCAGGGTGCGCATGGGCGGTCTGGTTCAGTGAATGGCCATGGAAGTGATGATCGCGCTCAGCCTGTGCCTGAGCTTCCACTGGTGCTGTGTGGACTTGGGAGGGTGATCGCCCAAGGACCTATCGTTTCAGGGTCAGGATTCCGTGGGCTTAGCCAGGCGGGATGCTTGGGGAGTTGAGCTTTGAGCCAAATGGGGGCATAGTGATGAACTTTAGTAGGGAGGGAGGGGGGGAGGTGATTGCTTTCTGGGAAGAACAGGGTCCTCTGATCCTCCTGTCCTGCCCTTGTGGGGCTGGGAATCCTGAGGCTGCTGCAGTGTCCTCAAGACTGGAGTGCTATCACTTCAAACTGCCATCTGTCTTCCAGGGCATATTCATCAAGGACTCCAACTCCCTGGCCTACTATAACATGGCGAATGGTGCTATCATCCACCTGGCCCTCAAGGAGAGAGGTGGGAGGAAGAAGTAGACGAGAGGAAACCTGCCGCCAAGTCCCAGCCACTGCCATGACCTCTCCTGCCCTCCCCTCCCCCTTCACTCCTTAAAACCCCTAAACCCAGAAGGCTTACCTGGGCCCTTGGGCCCGGCCTGCACGTTGATTCCCTCTTAACTCGGTGTGGATGTTCAGGTCACCCCGTTGGTAGGTAGTGTGTGTAGCAGGCCTGGCTCACCCTCCTCTTCAGTGGTCTCCAGAATCCCTTGTGTCGAGTCTTGATTGGATTTCTTCAGGATGCCCATTAGGATATGAGAGCCCCAAGCTGTCGTCCCCTTCCCCCCCAATAGCCGGTAGTGCCAGGTGGCACTAGGCTGAGGGAATACGGTTGTTGTCATCATTGATAATTTTATATGTTCCCATGAGCTATCAATAAAACTCTTGGTCCCTTGTGACTTCAGTGTAGTAGACTTATCTGTTGGCTTCCTGCGCCTTGAATTACTGGGGGTGGGGTGGCCAGTGTCCCCTCACAGCTTTAAGAAATACAGGCACGGTAAACAAGCGGCCATCTAGCTCAGAAGCCACAAAGCCCACATGGAAGAAGCACACCAGCCTGTGTGACCACGAGGGGTCGAGGGGA